CTTACCAAGGTCCTCTTTGCTGTGTGGATAATCAAGGAAGGCTTTTCAGGTCTAATTCAGCCCAGATGGGGCAGAGGGACTCTGCCTGCCTGGAAACCTAAATCCTGAATACAGGAGAGGTGTGCCTGAGGATTCAGCTGGAGAGAGGATGGAGGGCTGAGGATCAGCTCTGGCTGGCTTGGAATGTGGGAAACCCACTTCCACTTTCAAGAAGTAAATTTTAGTTTGGGGACAAGAGGCGTCTGAATTAAGTTGACATTATTCAAAAAAGCAAAGGAAGACTCTAATTTTCCAGCTTATACAAAATGATTCCCACAGAGTCTGTTTGTTGGGAGGTTGTGGATGATTTAAAACAACTTGATATGCTAGAATGGAATGTCATCTTAACAAATTGGAAATTGGGATTAGCCATTTTATGGAGAAAGCTTAGTTTAATATTGGCAAAGGAGAGAGAGAAAAAAAAAAAGCCTGCATATTTAAAACCAGGTCCAGGAATCCCACCTATTTCGTGGCTGGTAAATATTTTCATTCTTTCCCCACCTTCTCATCTTCCTATTTTTTTCCCTTTTATGTTTCTATGATAATGCCCTTTAGACTGCAATACATTGCAATGCGTACTAGTAAGGATCATTAGTTTCACAACTACCAGTGGGGCCAATATCAGAACTACTGTACAACATTCAAAAATCAACAGTTATAGCTGCAAAGGGACCTGGTTGAGAATGATAAGCCATCTCTTCCATGAAGAGATGGAAATTTAGGAATTAATGGATTCACATAAATAGGATCTTGTCCCATTTCATGATGAGTGATTTTCTATGTGCCAGACATTGGGATAATAGCTGTCTAAGCCCTCGGTTACTCACATCCATCAAAGCACACCTACAGGGTAGATAGGCAGTATCTGCTATTACAGATGATGAAACTGAGGCTTAAAATAACTTGCCTGTAGTCAGTATTCCCACAAGGGATATTTCTAGAGGATAAAAAGACATGAAACACATAGTGATTGAAGTTGGCCATTGAGCTGAGATGGAAACCCCACCAAACAAAACATGAATTATACTCTAAACAGGTAACCATGGAATGGATACTGAGATGACCCAAGACACACTTATTTCAAAGCTCTAATTACCATCTCCATTATCTGAATTAATTATCACAATCATGCCTTTAGAGTGAGGTTCTTGTTAATAGAATTTTGGTTAAAAAAGAGTCATCAAGAGGAGAAAATAAAAAATATTAGTGTCATCAGATATTCTGGTTCCCCTCTGTCTTTCCTTAAGCCTAATCAAGCTATAACTAAGGCCAAGTCTATGTCTTTCCTTCCCACAGACCCTCTTTAGGGGAGCGTTTTATGTTTATCCTTATTTCTCTATACATGTGATTCAAATATTTCAGTATAAAACATGAAGACTCCCATTTCTCCAGCCTGCTTTCTGGCAATTTCAATCAAATCTTTTAACTGCAACGTGCAGGCTGGCGAAGATCATGTTTCTGCCGACCTCACATTTTCTGCATGCGAGAGATTTCTGTATCTGGAAAAGGTTCATTTATCTTCCCTGACTTGTTAATATGTAATTGCCGAGTATCTTCTGTTTTCACAATTAGAATGGAAGCCACTACTGAAATGCTGTCAGTCAAACTCCTTTTGTTTATAAATTCATCCAACTGGAAGATGAAGAAACCGATGTCTGAGCTGTATAATTGAGAAGATTCAAGGCGTTGTGGTTGTTTGGTGTGTACATGTGATGTGAGTGACTCATCACATTTTTTTTTTTTTTTTGCGGTACGCGGGCCTCTCACTGCTGTGGCCTCTCCCGTTGCGGAGCACAGGCTCCGGATGCGCAGGCTCAGCGGCCATGGCTCACGGGCCCAGCCGCTCCGCGCGGCATGTGGGATCCTCCCGGACCGGGGCATGAACCCGCATCCCCTGCATTGGCAGGCGGACTCTCAACCACTGTGCCACCAGGGAAGCCCTCATCACATTTTTGACCTTTGTTTTCACCTTTACCTGTATTGAAGTTTGCTTTCCTATTCTGGCAGAAATATAATTCTCATATATTCAGAAAGAGAATTATTTATGAAATCACTCAACTGTATAGGAGACAAGAGACAGTTAATTTCTATCTCATTTTGTTTTTGATTATGAATTAGTCAGCTGAAAATTGCAGAAGGACCAAGCTGTATGAGAGAGGAGAATGATCACAGCAACTTCGAATTGAAAGACATGCTGCAAGTTTCTTAGAAAATGCCAAATACTGAAACCATCTCCCTTAAAGATCCAATTAAAAAGAGGGTTCATCCACCTATCAATTATGGATTTGAATGTATTGGCTGTCTCAAAATATTAACTTTCATCTGCTGGGCTAGGACTTGTAAATCATGAAGTTCTCAGTGGAGAAACATCAGCTATTGACCATTTTAAAGTCCATCTGAAGAAGGAAAAACAATTCTGAATATGAGTTTATCATTTGATTCTCTCACGTTTCAAACATAAAATATACCATAGTTTTAAAATAAATAATGTCTAGTATTTGAATTTTTTTGGTTGTTTTGTGTTCTCTCATCATTAATAAGGAATGAGTAACAGGCTCACAAGACAACATTTTATCTACATTCTTATCAGTATATCTCCACCATTTTAAACCTGACAACTTCTTTCCATTGCTTTGTTTCTAAATGTTAAGAGGAGACAAACTGTGTTTTTTTCCTACTTTCATGGAAACTATCCAGATGCCAAAAAAGTGAAACAAAACTCATGCATTTCTGATCCAGGAAAAGGGAGATAGAGTATAAACTTGACATATCTGTTCCAGAGACCTGTGTTCATGATTAATTCTATGGAGATGTTGAATATTTAGATCCTAAATCCAAAATCACAGAGAACATATGTCCTAGTTTCCACAAGACCGTCCTGGTTTATGGTGTTTCTAGGCATAAATATAAATAGCAACCCCTTTCACATTAAAAAAAATCCCAGTTGGGACAATATATGGTCACTCTTTGCAAAATAAATCAACACATAATTTTAAATAAACAGTCATGGCACAGAGAGTGTTCTTTCTGTCCATTTTGTGATACCTAGCTTGTTTTTTTGTAATTATTTCACACACACACACCTGTGAGGTAAGTCAAAACTTAAATCCTATTTTCTAGTTTCAAGATAAAACAGATAATCCACATGCCTTTAAATATTCTACTACAGGGTTTATTGAAATGTGTGTTGCAGCACGAAGAGTTTTCCTAGGTGTACAAACTTTTACTTTGTACTAATTCTAAAAATTAGAGAAAACACTTGAAATTCATCCACTGTAGGACTAAAATCTCCTCTTTAAAGGGTTTAGGGCATAATAAATATAGTACAAAACTACGCTTTCACAGGCACCCAGTAACTACCTCTCATTCATCCAGCATATGTTTACGCAGTGTCTTTGACGGGCCATACCTGTAATGGGCACATCTTGAAATTGCAGAATGCACAGAAAGCACCAAGGATCTCAGACCTTTGGGATGGGAAAACACTTCTTCCCAGAGAATCTTTAAATGTAGGGCATTTGATATGCAAAAATAATGACTAGTACCTATTAGCTCACAATCAAAGTAAGCACGGCTCACACTTCTGCACAGACTTTCAGCTCAGTTTGGAATTGCCGAGGGGGCTCTCATCTTAGGCGTGGTCACGGGGCTTCCACAAAATAAGAAATGTTGGCAGCGTTATCCAAAAAACAAAGACAATGTACTTGGATTAGAGCTCCTAATTCAGGGAGGCTAACACATGTAACTCCTCTATTGAGGAGAAAGATCAAGATTTCATTTCCTTAATGTTTATAATAGTGGAAGCCAGCTGAATGAGTAATATCTATATAATAGCTTTCTCATTTCCTTTTCTGTGATGCATCCACTTTATCAAAGCATCCCCAAAGAACTAAGTAGCATCTTGTTAAAGGGTAAGGCCAGAATATATTTAACAAGAGCCATAAAATGTTATTTCACTTCATAAAGGAAGTTTTACCAAAACTCACTACCTCCTTGAAACAGAACAGAGAAAATGAACCAAATGTCATGAGCCAAATTTTACTCTTCAGATTGAGCATAGTTTTTATATAGACCATTCATAAATCTAAACAAATGCCTATAGTAAAGCCAGAAGACAGCCCCAGATGATACATTTATTCTGCTAATCATTCTAAAAAAGCTGAAACTAAGGCTTAAATACTTCTGAGCCAAAATAGACAGCTAAAAATCCTTGTTAAATGTACAGCAGCTTAGTAAAGAAAAACGCACAGATGAGATAGACTTTTTTTAAATGATCTATGACCTTCATATGTAATAGACAAGAGTTAAGGGAAATGGTTAATCCGAGCTTGGTTCTCAATAAATAATGAAATGGATTAAATATTTTCTGTGAGTAAAAGACTTAACAAGAAAATCAGTTCATATTAGCTCCAAAATAATACTAATAAGGAGTGTCCTTCAAGAAGGATTTTCTGATCTAATTGCTATTGTCAAAGTTGGTACAGGCTTAAAACAAATACCTCTAATGTGTACCCACAAACCAGACGAAATTAGAATAGGCTTTCCCTAAAGACTTGGTAAACATTCAATTAAAACTTAACAACTGCAAAGTATAAGCCAGCCCCTCCTCTATCAGCTATCTCGGTATAATGTACTTGGATAACATCAGATATCTCAGTAAAATTACTGGAACTTTCACAGGGGTTAAATCTTACTGTCCATTTTTTTTTTTAAAGTAAGGTGATTGAGGTATTCCCCGGGATAAAATTAACTTGCATTGCACATTCACAATTCCCTTATCTATTGTTTCAATACTGGAAAGAGGAAGTGATGTAATTACCATGCCTTTAGGCTGATAAGCTAAGTTTCAACTGCTCATAGTGAAGAAAAATTATTTTACTGATATTTTCAGTCACATTATGAAATCACATCCTATTTTCCAATGTATATTCTACCCTGTTTCACAATGCTAATGTATTTACCTTCATTTTTCTTGATGGTAAAATTCGGATTGTTGACCATTTCTGGAAGAAGGCTGTATAAGAAATAATGTCCGTTTTTGGGCTCATCTTTGTCCGTGGCACTCACTGTTTGAATGACCTGTAACATAAAACTTGACGTCAGCACTTCTGATGACATCAGAGGGCTTGCACTGCCTTTAAAAGCTGAGTGACATTCCTTTAGTAGAGTGATACTTTGGTCCAAGGAATATTTTTCAGTTTTCTAAGTTGTTATGGACGGTTCACACCAAGAATAAGGAGAAACATTCATCACTTTAAAACCTAGCTTTGATATAAGCTGATGAAAATTAGGGTCATTACTTTTGTGTCCACTTGGTATCTGTGGCTTGAAATGGCAAATTTAAGGGTATTTGAAAATTCCACTGGGCAATTACAAGCTTCTTTCCACTTTGAGTATGTACGGGCTTCAAGAATGAAATCTGGAATTGTTACAGTGATTGTAGTGTGGCTCTTGGGAGGATGTTGGAGGTAAAGTACTTAAATCTTGAATCCTCACAACTCCTCTTTCATTTTACTCATTAGGTTACAAGTGTTTGCAAATAGAATGTTCCTCGGCACAAACATCACTGCCACAAACCTTTCTGAAGAGTTGCATCTCTTCCCTCCCAATAATGAATACTGTTTTTAAAGCTAGTGGATAACACATGCAAACAATGCTTTGGAGTGTATCCTGAGATGAATAAATTATAGGGATTAGAAGAATTACCACCATGCAGAGAACTGTTTGGATAGATACACATACTCAGAATTGGTGCCAGTTGAATGTGCTTATTTCATTTGCAAAGCTGCATTAACTTAGTGCTAAGTTGTTCCTTGGGATGTCAGAGAATTAGCTTAATAATTCATATTTATGAGTCTGTGATATTAATAACTTCCATATGAAACACTGGGCAACAGCTAATGTAAAAATTATAGCTTAAATTACTACTGTAAATAGTTACAACATAATTTCTACCAAAAAAAAAATGCCTATGAAGCATGACAGTCAAGGGTATAATCAGATTTACCATAAAAAATTAACAGGGAAATACTCTCAGGTTTGTGAAATTTAGAGAATTATGATGCCTAATGTTGTGTCAGTTTAAACAATTATGTGCCACTGAACTTTGTCAGTGTCATTAAAGAGAAAAAAATGGATCACTTCTTTGTGAGAAAGAGACATCATTGCCTTGTAACTTATCACCTAAATAAGATATCACCACAATTTAAGAACATTTTCAATAGCTGTGAAGTTTTGCATTGTTATCACCCACATGCTATACGATAAGCAGTGCATCAAGGTTATTTGGGGCATAAATGAAATAACTTCTCTCATTTTCTATTTCTCCATTTTTGTAAATGGAACATATTCCTACTTTGTAGGTGTTTTACTCTTGTTAAAGACCTTGTGAAATGTCTTATAATTGTACTTAGCTTGAGTAACAATATAACAAAAAATAGCACAAAATATAACTCATGGTGGAGACAGTGAGATAGTCATTAAGTTGACGGACTCTGAAATAAAGCTGCCTTGACAGAAGTCATAGCCTTATCCTTTACTCACTGCATGAAATGGAGGGATTTACTTAACTCTTTGAAACTCAGTATTCCTAAATTTTAAATAAAAGAATACTTTTCTCATAGGGTCGTTTTAATTCTTTATGTAAATTCATGTCAATCTGTTAATACAGTGTCTGGTTCCTAGTAACTGTTCAATGAGTATTAGTCATCATCATTATTATTTATTATTTTTTGTTAAGGTCACTACCATTTATTCATGACATAGCACATTGATAAGTGTAACAACTTAGATGTTACACAAACAGGGGCCTCGCTTCCATCATATTAGTTGGGAAAGCAATTATATTTACTATATCTAAACAGCTAGCTTATTTGCCTTGACATTTAGGTGCAGAGAGGTTCCTTGGGCTTCTAGTTTTATAAAGAAGAAAGACTTAAAGTACAAGGGAAAAAACTGTGAAATACAGATGAATCTTTTATAGACAACCTACATGTACAAATATTTAACAGAATAATTTGACAAGAGCCTTCTTTTAGGCAGTTATGAAGAACAAAGGGGGAAAAGTTACTTGTGAACACATGTAGCATCGTCTTCTCCCTTTACCCAATTTTGTTTCAAAAAGACTTCTAGGGCTTCCCCGGTGGCGCAGTGGTTGAGAGTCCGCCTGCCGATGCAGGGGACGCGGGTTCGGGCCCCGGTCCGGGAGGATCCCACATGCCACGGAGAGGCTGGGCCCGTGAGCCATGGCCGCTAAGCCTGCACGTCCGGAGCCTGTGCTCCGCAGCGGGAGAGGCCACAGCAGTGAGACGCCCGTGTACCAAAAAAAAAAAAAAAAAAAAAAAAGACTTCTGTTCCCAAGTGCACCTGTTGAAGAAATCATTCCTGAAGTGTGTGAGCACATGTGAAGAAAAAGAGCAAACAAAGAAAGGATGTCTCCACAGTGGCTGTATCAATTTACATTCCCACCAACAGTGCGAGAGGGTTCCCTTTTCTCCACACCCTCTCCAGCATTTATTGTTTGTAGATTTTTTGATGATGGCCATTCTGACCGGTGTGGAGATTCCTTAAAAAACTAAAAATAGAACTACTATATGACCCAGCAATCCCACTACTGGGCATATATCCTGAGAAAACCGTAATTCAAAAGAGTCATGTACCACAATGTTCATTGCAGCTCTATTTACAATAGCCAGGACATGGAAGCAACCTAAGTGTCCATCGACAGATGAATGGATAAAGAAGATGTGGCACATATATACAATGGAATATTACTCAGCCATAAAAAGGAACAAAACTGAGTTATTTGTAGTGAGGTGGATGGACCTAGAGACTGTCATACAGAGTGAAGTAAGTCGGAAAGAGAAAAACAAATACCGTATGCTAACACATATATATGGAATCTAAGGGAAAAAAAAAGGGACATGAAGAACCTAGGGGCAAGACGGGAATAAAGACACAGACCTACTAGAGAATGGACTTGAGGATAGGGGGAGGGGGAAGGGTAAGCTGTGACAAAGCGAGAGAGCGGCATGGACATATATACACTACCAAACGTAAAATAGCTAGCTAGTGGGAAACAGCCGCATAGCACAGGGAGATCAGCTCGGTGCTTTGTGACCACCTAGAGGGGTGGGATAGGGAGGGTGGGAGGGTGGGAGGGAGGGAGACACAAGAGGGAAGAGATATGGGAACATATGTATATGTATAGCTGATTCACTTTGTTATAAAGCAGAAACTAACACACCATTGTAAAGCAATTATACTCCAATAAAGATATTTTTAAAAAACACATGAAAAGATGCTCAACATCGCTAAAAAAAAAAAAAAAAAAGAGGATGTCTTGTATTCTGGGGTGGGAATCATTTGTAACTAAGAGCATTCTTAACGTGTATTTAATGGATAGAGCTCCTACAAGCAATACCATTTCTAAGTCATCTGCATGAAAAAGACTCATACGTGCTGGCGAGTGAATCTACATGTTACGCTCTCACAACCAAAACAAAAGAGGCAATAATTTAGCTTACCTGAAGTAAATGAGTATAATTACCTGTCATACCACATCTCAGAAGTTTGGTCTAAATATTACATCTGCAATAAATATTTTTTCCACCATTTATTTAAGTCAGGAAATCTGTTAGACATGCAATTTCTGAGCTTGCTGAACCAAAAAGTCTTGGGACAGGGCCTAGAAATCTGCATTTTAAAGTCTTGTGATTCTGATGCATGCTTAAGTCTGGGATCCACTCTTTTGAGTCAAGGGAGAAGATTGGTGTCCATAGGTCTCTTATTACTGTTCATTAGAAGAGTTTGTACTGTCAAGTTTACATCAAAATCAGTGCATGATGTGTTGGGAAAAAAGTGATGAAATGGTGAATCTTTAAATTAACTTCCAAATATCCTATGAACTAGCTATGGTTAAGACTTTGGTTTAAACCATTTTTGACACTTCATTTTATTTTAATGCAATGGCCACTGTCTGATCATTTTCTCTGAGAGTAGATGCCTGGTAGATCACTTGAAGGACTTTATGCTATTAAAATGCATTAAGTTACCCATATTTAAAAGGCTGAAATTTTCATTGATGTAATAACATCTGAACACATTTGGCTTTAAACAACAGAAGAAAAAAGAATAGATTTATTCAAGGAAGTGTACCTCCACACAAGCAGATTTTATAGGTACACTGAGTTGATGGCAGATGAAAACTGCATGCATTTCCCACTGTGAGCTACTTTGACATCAGCTGATTTTTAAGTAATTGGACAACTATTTCATGAAAATGATATAAAAATTTCTGAAGAGGTCATAGATTTTTAGTAGTAAATATACAGCATTTAGCTTAAATATTTCCCTTTCTAGCAGTAAAGTTAGGATGCAGTTGAAAAATCTAATGCTTGATAACTTATTGTGGATTAATTTCAAGGGAAGGTAAAAGCTAATATACTTCTCTATCAGAAAAACAAAGCATATCTGAGATCGGGCATAAGGAAATGAATTTCAAGGCCATACTTGAATTTCCATGGGAGCAGACTCTGATCTATTTCTTGAGAGTACTGATTTGAAATCAAATGACCTTTCTAAGCGTAAAACTGAAAAGAAATTTTTTTTAGAACTGTCGGCCATATCATAATTCTGACTCTTTTTAAAAAAAACTATTCATTGTTTATCAATAATGCTAAACCTTAGATCGCTTTAATTAATATAGTTTATTAAACATTATTTTAGATTTTTATAGTAACTCAAAAGAAGTTAATAGTAGTAAGTTTCACTGTCATTATTAACTTTTCAAAAGGCAAGCCGCCAACAAACAAACACATTTCTGATTATCTGATCTGTTGACAACCTTAAAACTCTCTTGGAATCTATTAGAATATCCCCTGTGAGTTCCTATCGTTATTGTTCATTGATTTGTTCTTAGATGACGAGTTGGGTTTTTCCCCCCTCTCACTGCTATTAGAACAGTGTCTGGCACATAGTAGCTTTTTAATAAGTATTGTCTAAATGAATAAATGAATGGATGAATAAATAATCATGTCAGGCATGTTTTAGCATCACCACTAATTCTTATGTAACTTTGA